AATCCTTCAGAGTCGTGCTAGGGACTCCCCTCATTCAGAGGATCCGAGACGTAACTAACTTTAGTATTGGTCCTTCACAAAGTAGTCTTGGGGCCAGATTTCAAAATTGGGAATTTGCAGGAACATTTTTTATACGGGGGGAAGGGGGGGGGGGGCGTGGGAGTTCAATCTTAGGGGGAAGTGATTAACACTATGGTACGCCGAATGTTGGGACAGCCTTTTCTTGCCACAGGGCTTCCTCAGGCCCTTACATGGCCCTTAGGGCTGTAAAGTAGGTTCTTGGGTGGGTAGTATCAGTGTTAAAGGGATTGAGGTGCAGGAAGCCATGATACGACTGACAGGCCTTCGAGTGTTGGTGTCCATGTGAGCAATTGTCAATACTCGCATAATAGGCACGAAGAGAAAGAATGCCGTGAGATGCAGGAATCGCGCAAAAAGATCCAAAAGCGATAGGCCCAAAGCCATACCCTTCAATCCAAGACGTAACCATGACTGTGTGGTGGCTGAACCCCCCGAAAGCGATACCTTTCTTGTATCCTACGCCGAGACCCCAAAAAGCGATAGGACCCCCCGAAATATTCCATGGCATCAGATCATACAAGGAGTTTCGGCGAAAGCTCATGTGAGGAGAACCCAGATGAGAACCATGCAACGCGCTGTAGTCTCTGATGGTCATTGGTTATTTGAAAGAGACAACGCTAGCGTTTCTGAATTTGCCTGCTTGGAGTCGGTTTTGATGTTCTCGGGTCTGCAGAATCTTTGCCATTGGGAAACATATTACAGGGGGCTGAATAAGGGGTTAGTATACGGATTTAGGGGTTAGTGGCGGAGAATCAAATGGAAAAGTCATAACCTCATATTGATATGCATCCTTTTCTAAGATCTCATAGTACTCCCTTCATAAGTGTGCTGGGTGTGGCGTATAGCAAATGGGGCAAGTTTACGATTCCTCAGAGATTCCAACATCTTCTTGTCGGAAACCCTCCACGACATGAATTACTGATGTTTTAAACACATACGCTCAAAGATGTTTCCGCTTAGATTAGGAACTGGACCTGTGGAAGAGTCTTTAGTCAGTCATGATGCGTACTGGTAGACCATCGCAGAGAATCTTTAAGCATTCCCAAAATAAGTCACCTCACCACCAGACCACGCATCGCCATCGGCGGCTCAACAGAGCATCCGGCACGTTTCGGAATTTGAGCATGGGGCGTTTCATTTCATTTTGCGATGGATCAACGTGGGGTGTACTTAGAGGATCTTAGAGGAGGTCGATGAGTGCCGTTCCTTGATGATTCCTGGGAGAATAGGAGGACCCCAGCAAAGGCCTAAGATGCAAGATTGCCTAGGATGCTTTCATGGTTAGCACGCTGATGAAGAAAAGCTCTCAGGTTCTTTTGGCATTCCGAAGCATCCCAAAGTAGAGCAGCTCCTGTTTTCCTTGCTAGTTCAAGGTGATCGAGCCATGTTCCTGAAGAATTCAAACCACAAGCAATCCAGGTCGTATTGTCCTCATGCCAACACTGCTTCAGACAGAGTCTGATCAGCAACGATCTATGCCGCCCTCCAACCCAAAGGTTAAGAACACCCTAGAAACTCCGCACCTCCACATCTTTCTAGCAACCGATGACCCTATGAAGTTCCACAACAAGGGGATGCGTAAACTCTGAAGTCCTATCTCCTTGGGACGCGTAGAAATTATTCTAGTTGTTCATAACCCCGGGGAGCCACTGGAAACATGTTTTCATTACAAGCCGAACGTGATTGTAATAAAGCGATCTCATTTCAAGTTAATCCCATTCCTTGAATACTGAACGGAATCTCTCTGAGAACAACCCCTGCCAACCCCCCAATAAAAAGTCTTCCCCCTAACATCCAGAAAAGAACAATGGCCCTGACCCTGCCACGAAACCGAAAGCCTCTGCATTACCGCCCCATGCCGAGCCTCGAATTGTCAACCCCTAAAGCTTGGGTACTACCGCCGCTCTGTAAAAGTTGGACTATCTTAATAACATAGTGATATATTACATAGCCCTTAACCGAATATGGACTGTTAATGAATGGCCGAAACCTTAAAACCTAAACCCTATCCCCTAAACCTTCTAATCCCTAAACCCTAAACCCGAAAAAACCCTGAACCCAAAACACCCTATATAGTAATTTCCATGTTCTTTTCCATTTTCCCAATATAACCCCCATATATACCCCTGTAGAACCCTATATACCCCTTTAAAGGGACCTGGGGTTTCCATTTTCTTTTCTATTTTCCCCCATATTAAACCCTAAACAGGGACTAGAGAGGCCTTTTTTGGATGGAGGTCTTGGCTTTTACACTCAGAGACATAAGATTCTGGATGTAAGGTTTTGCTTTACCGCTTCTGCTGCTGCTACTACTCCTTCTTCTATTTCTACGCTAATCGCTGATGGTACTAATGCCATTCCTCTTGGATACATGACGTATAGAAGCAGCAACTGAATTGCAGTAGTGGTCGTGGGAATGCCAGTTGGAGGTGTGAGGTGATGCTAGAGCTTTTACTACGTAGTACGAATCTTGTACCGTCCTTCCTTTACACACCGCCACTCTCCCTGACACCAGCATGGTACCCCACAAAGACCCTGCGAAGACTACTGCTTTGAAAGGGTCTATATTGGGTTCTATGCTTTGGTTTCCTAGATTTGGGGGTCCAATTTTGAGATTCCTGGCTCCGGGGACGATCTTATTCTGGGGCGCAACTGCAGACTTTCAACGTCGTCTGACAGACAACCAGAACTTTCATCGACGCCTGGGCGGCGTCGGGGCTGAAAGTGTTGCCCCGGCTGGCGAGGCCTGTAGAGTGCGGGCTTCGTGTAAGGGTCTGAAGAATTAGAGTAAGGGTTTTTGGGCTCTAGGGTTTAGGCTTTTAGGATTATCAGGGTTTGAGGGTTGGGGCTTCAGAGGTTGTGGGGTCTGAGGGTTCAAAGCTTAAGGGTTTAGGGCTTTAGAGTTTGAGGATACTGGAGAACAAAATAGAAAGTCAATGGCACAAGCGCTGGGTTTGAGGAGCAGGTTCATAGGGATGTTTCCTTGAGCGCCGCAATATTTGCAATAGGGGTTTGGGGTCTATTATTACGTGTAGGGTTTAGGGGTTAGATACTCCAGGGGTCTATATTATGCTTTACTTTAGTTCTACGAAGACTAAAAAGGGATACTGTTGGCGGCTATTGAGGCTTGTATAATTGTAACGGATGAACAAAATGCAAAGGAACATGGAACATGAAATGGAAGCTGGGGTTATGTCGGGTTATAGGGTGTTTGATGTAGCAGACGATTGTTGCGAATGTTGGGCTTCGGGTTCAGGGTTTAGAGCTCAGGGCTCAGCGGTTAATGTATTTGATGTCGGTGTTGATTTTGGTTCAGGGTTCTAGGCCTCGGGGTTTTAAGGTGTAGGGTTCTCCTAAATTCTAAACCCAAAATGGCGGTGTTGGGTTTGAGGCTCCAGAGGTGGCGATTCATGATGCAGCCTGGAGTTCAATGTATGTGTGTGGGTTCGCAGGCATAGTGCTTAGGACTCAGAGTCTAGGATGTGTAAGGTTCATGGCTCACATGTGGCTTAGGTTTGCAGGGCCTGCTTCGGACTCTGTATGGGAGGCTGCCTACCGTAGTGCCTTAGCTGCCAATATCATCTTGAGGCCTATTTGAGATACCTTATTCT